AATCGTCCTCCAAGGCCACTTTCAGTTTTGGATTTTTTTTTATAAAAACTCCAACTTTGTTCTTGAGAATAGGCGCATCTTAGAGGTCCTTTTCATTAGGGTTGGCATTAGGCTTATGTATGGAATGATTAGGGTTGAAAATTGGATCCAAAAAACCTTTGCATTGATGGAAGGATATTTGATTTTCATGGCATATATTTTCCAATCTTTTTCATGCAAATTTGATTCCAATCATGGCAAATCACAATGATTCTTTCTATATCTGATCATGCACGAAATCTTGAGCTTATTCCATGCATAAAAAGATTTAAAAAGTTTGTTTTGGTATTTTCCACATATTTTAATTAATTAAATGAATTATTAGCAATTAAAAATTCAAATAAATAAATAAAAATGATGAATAACTTCCCTTTGGGTCAAATGGTCGTGCACATGCTTTGGATGATGAATCTTATAAGAAAAAGAGGCCCATTAGCAATTTTAAGACATTTGAAGCAAAGTTGACTTTTCAAAATATCCAAAAATTTCCCAACTTCCACAAGGCATATCTTGCTCAATTTTTAAGCTTTGATCATGTTCTTGGACATTTTGGAAAGGTATTGAAGTCCTATAACCAATGCCTTTTGTCCCGTGTCATTTTGATTTACCAATCTCAAGTTATGGCCTTTGACTTAAAGTCCCTTTTTGTTGACTTTTGAAAATGACCTATAATTTTGAAATTGATAACTTTTTGTGAGAGCATTTCTTGGACTTGAAGTGTGAGGAGGAGTTGTAGGAAATGTCTTTCTCTTCAAAATGAGCTTTGGATGGAATTTTTCTGATAATCCATTTGGAAGTTATGCCTTGGTCAAGTTACAGTTGACTTTTTCAACTGTCCAAATATGGAAACTTTTGCATCTTGAGACTTTTTGAGCCAAGCTTTGAGAATCATGATCAAGATTTGATCAAATGATGTTTTTAGCTTCAAAATGATATGTTGACCAAAAATTTGAATTTTTGACTGTCAAATGACCATTTTGCCCCTACAGTTGACTGTAGTGCAATTAGGGTTTTTGACTGTGCAATTTTGTGCTGTAAGTCTTGAAACTTGGTATGAGGATGCTTGACCATGTTTATAGGCATGTGGGACTTGATTGGACCCTTGGAAACTTCATTTTCTTTGTCAGAACCAAAACCCTAGTTCTTGATTGTTAGGAGGCCCTTGAACTGTGCAACCCTTGGGGAGATTTTGAAGCTTTGACTTGGCAAATCTTGAAGAATATGGGAGGGAAAATTTTGGGGTACAACATACGCTAAGCGCGTTATCTGGGATTTAGCACGCTCAAGAGCTTTTTGTTTTTCTATAAATAGATTTTTCTTTCATTTTGTACCCTAACTTAGAGAAGCTCGTCCAAGACCAGAGCCCACCACCATTTTTAGAGAGAGGCTAAAAAATAACAAGAGAGGGTACTTCTTGAAGATCCGAAGCAGAGTTTGCATCGATTGTTGAGACATCAAGGTGGATGCTTGTTCTTCTTCACTCTTCTTTTTGTATATAGTTGCCATGGGTAACTAAAACCCCTTTCTTGTTGGGCTTGTAAGTATTTCATCTTAGTAGTATGTATTTATTTTAAGCTTTGTATTGTGAACCTTGTTTTGAATCAATATATACTGTACTATTTTTTTTCATATGGTTTGATATATTTCAAAATATTGATCTAATATTATTCATCTATTGATAACCAAACTCTAGACAAAGATTTTTGGGTTGATATTCATTTTGTGTCAGATCTTAATATTTGTATGTTGTTTAATATGTTGAAACGTCTTCTGTTAATCAACCGGTATAATCCTGCAATGTTGCTCTAGATATGGACGGTGTTGATCAATGATACGTGAATATAGAGATGAATTACTTTGTTCACATGATAAGATTGGTAGAATGCATATTGTAATAGGTTTTTATTGATCATGGTGTTATTAGTAATCTTCGTATGATTTAATATCAGGGGTATCTTTGTTGTGTTTTTTAAACTCTTGGATTTTAATTTCTATAGAGAAATACATATTGAATCTGGATATAAGATAAGCCTTTGTTCAATGCTAAATGCTAGAGATAGCTTTAGGTTTAACATTCACATGGAGTATTGACTCTTAATGCTTCTGTATTGTTTGATAGGCTGGGAGGTCGTCAATTAAACAATATGGTTGATATCTCAACTTTATGTTATACATGACCTCTGTTGTGGGTGATACGTGATGTTATTGTTGAATTATTAGATTTTATTTAAGTGATTGGTAAAACGTATATTCTATGGGTGAATGAAATCTAATCCTGACAAGTTCTCTTCTCTCTGAAACCTTATTTATCTTTCGTTCTATTTACATTTTGCATCCTTTACGCTTTCAAACTATTTGCAAACAACCGGTTAAAAACGACAGTAGCTATTGAACGACATTTGATATCACACTAATACCAGTGGATACAACAAAATAGATACTTACCTAAATCTTTTGATTGTGCTGCAAGTTCGATCAATTGGATAGTATTCTTTGTGTCTTAATGCGAAACTTTGTATCACGAAACTTATGAACTATTTAGAAAATGTTTCATGCATTAAAAACAGGTTTTTATGTGAAAATCAGGTCTATGTGTCGACACATACATTCTATGAGTTGACACATGTGAATGTGTTTTAAATCTTATAGCCTCTATTTGCATGAGTCGGCTCATAGGGATCTTCAGGTCGACACATAGCAGTAATTTTCTTGTTATGAGTCGACTCATAACATATATGTGTCGACACATGCATCAAAGGTGTCGATTCGTGACTTGCATGTGATGTCACATGCATCAAAAACTTTGAAAAATCTAGATTCTTTTCGAAACCTCTATTTTTATTTTTGCCTTCAACTTGCACACACACACACACACACACACACACACACACACACACACACACACACACACACACACACACACACACACACACACACACACACACACACACACACACACACACACACACACACACACACACACACACACACACACACACACACATATATATATATATATATATATATATATATATATATATATATATATATATATATATATATATATATATATATATATATATATATATATATATATATATATATATATATATATATATATATATATATATACACCTCATACATATATCATTTGAAAGTTGATGAAACCATAAACATACAAAGAAAACTCTCTTCATCTCCAACCTCTCTTTCTATGCATACACACAAACAAATTACACATAATCATTCTTTTTTTGGGTATCATCTAGATTTAGAGTTGATAACGTCCAATTTAGGATTGTGTTCCAGTAAATTAGGTTGAGAATCTTTAGGGGTTTCATCGGGAAAAACCAGTTAGGGTTTGTCCACCAAGATCAAGGTGTTAATTTGGGGGGTTTTGTACAAGATTTTGCATTTTGGATTCAATCGAGTGAAAGCTTCTAAGAACGGTGGGTTCGGTCGAAGGAGTAATGGTAACCGAAGGATCGATTGAAAATCTTGGATGAGAATAATTCATAATTTGTTCAGTCGAGTGAAAGCTTCAAAGAATGATGGGTTCGGTCGAAGGAGTAGCAGTAACCGGAGGATTAAATTAGTATTGTTGGGTGACTTGATTGAGCTCAATACCAAGGGAAGAGAAATAGTTAGGATCAACATCAAATATAGGGTTAGTAGGATTTGATGACTACCTTTCTCTTGTAAATAATTTTTGCAAAGTAAGATTAATTATTTCAATTTTGAATGGAATTGGAGGCAGATGTAGTCATAGAGAGGATGATTGGTGAACTTCCTAAACAAATCCTCATGTCTTCTCTCTCTCCCCCCCTCTCTCTCTCTCTAATTTACTTTCAATTGTAAATTATTGAATTCGTTGATTATGCAATTGACACGTTTAGATAAACCTTTTGTAAATTCAAAAATGTTTTTTGAGTTGATTACAATCTATATGATTGAAATAGTTTTTGAAATCAACAAAACAATAAGAAAAATCTGACCAGTATCAATTGCACACCAAGTGTTTGATAATTTGTTTCTTTGTGTTTGTTGTTTTAGATTTTATTGGAAACATGTTACTATTGAGATTACATTCAAACGTGTTGTTTGTGGAAATATATTGTCTCTATTATTTATGATTATCATTGCATATAAATTTTGTTTAACGCATATATGAGTTTTTCGATAACAGTTCGAATTATATGATAGTTGACCCAATTGTTTTCTGATTGCCATAGTTAACAAACCTTTTAAAATTAATTTTTCAAAAAAAAATTTAACTTAACTTGTATTCGAACACCCCCTCCCCCTTCGGATAAATTGCATTTGTCTAACATTATAGGTGAAGTTACATGAATCTATAAGCAAATATAAAAAGCAATCATCTTGAAACCATGGAAGAAAGAGAAATCAAGATTAACATGAAACCCAAATTTCTAATCTAATTCTAATTTTAAAAATTAATCTTAATGGTTAATCCATAATTAGAACTAAAATACCATTATGATATTTCTACATTAAAAAATAATAATCCAAGATTATAATGAAATGAATTTCTTAAGAAAAATAAATAAATAAAAGAAAAAACAAGAGTTCTACCCAAGGGGTGGTAATTAGAAAATAGGGGGATATTAGTGATTATGTCTAAGCCCAAAAGCAAACTCAATTATGTCCTAACAAAAAAAAAAGGAGTGGTCGTATGATTGAGATTAAAGGATATTTATCAAGGGAGCATGGTAAGGATTTATGGGATAGCACAGATATGCTTATTTTTAATAGTTAAAACAACTAGCCAAATCACAAATTGACATGTGGCTATTTTAATAAAATTAAAAAAGAAAAAAAGAAAAAGAAGTGATAGAAAGAGAGATAGAAATTAAAATTATAGTGTGAAACAAGCTAAGAAAAAACCGCAGCATAAGCGCTTTTCCTCAAAAGTGATTCTCACAATCTGCATAAACACGATCATGCTCGTTTCTAGAAGAAAGACGCTAGGGCAACCAACCATGGATTTTAATCTTTTTCGGTTTTCAATTCGAGTTTTGGCATTACGGTACTGGTTAGGTTTTGGTTTTAAGCTTATGTTAATAAGCGCGTTTCGCACTGCCCAGCTTGCTTCAGAATTGTGTTCATGCTTTGGTAAGCTATTCGATTCGAGTTTGGATTCAGAATTTGTTCAGGTCAGTTTGGATGTTTTTGATTCAAGTTCAAAATTGATTTCTACAGCAACGCATTGGCTTGTGCATTGGTGTTTGGCTTTGAATCAATGTGTTCATTTTTTTTGTTTTAGCTTAACATATGGTTCCAATGAATAACTTTGTCTTTGTGAATTTTGTATGGGCACTGAATTGGATTGGAACTGGTTTATGCAGGTAGCAGGATTTGGACTAGTTTATGTGCTGGTCCATTTAGTGGTCCAACAGCTGGTTGGTTTGGTGGTCGGGTCTGCTTTTGGGCATGACTGGACATGATTTTGAACTTGGTCCATGGCAATGATGTAATGAGGACATTGAACACATGTGGATCAATTTAAAGATGAATTTGAAGAGGCTGGGAAAGAGATAGGTCTAGGGTCAAATTAGGGTTAAGGTCAACCTTGATCAACTGTTTGACCATAAGTCAACAGTTGCCCAAAAAAGTCAAATGTAGGCAAAATGTAGATTTTTGTATGTACTTTGTATTTTAGTAATGTGTTTTGGTATTTGAAATGGTTTTTGACTTTTTGTTATGTATGTTGACTTTTGAAACTTGTTCTTTAAAAATGAAGCACTTTCTTATTTTCTTTCCATTTTGAGCTTTGAAATTTGAATTTGAATTCCCATATATGATATATCAAGTAGTTATTAGAAGCATAATAATGATTGAATATGAAAATAGAAAATACACTTGACTTGGTCAACAAAAGTCAATCTTTGATGATTGATTTTGTTGATCAAAAGTCAACTATTGTAATATACGATTTCCAGTTTCTTTTTTCATGATATGCACCAAAATGTTAGTTATGGTTTAAACTTGAGTAAGGGAAGTCCCAATAATTGGATCAAGTGCAACATGCTCTTTCTTCTTTTCTAAGTAATGAGTTGATAAAAGTACCAAATAATCTAAAATAACTTGTTCTACAAGAAAACAAAGCAAAACCTTAATCTATGGGAATTCATCTGACCACCACATATTGAGAATGATCCACATAATAAAACCTCCATTTGAGAAAACCATATGATCATGAGGTAATAATCCATGTTGAGACAATCCTGTTTATCGAATTGAAATTCAAACATCATAAACCCTTTGAACCAATAATGTTATACGTGGATGCAGATGAATGAATGTTCTTGACTCAACATGAATGATAAGTCTAAATGTATGCAGATGAATCAAAAGTTATAAGTTAGACAAAATTGAATGAGGGATAGGGTAAATTTTTGGGTATGACAATTGTGTACCTTGAGTGTTCCACTTGATTTAATGAGCAAATAAAGAATTTTCGTTTAAGATCATCATAGATGACATTGTGTCTGAGATGAATGCTCATTCTCAGATATAATTTCCATCCAAAATCCTTAATTCTCTTCTTATTTTATAAAAGGATTCTTTGGCTAATGGTTTTGTAAATATGCCATCCAATTGATCACGAGTGTCCATAAATATAATTTCCACATCTCCTTTAAGAACATGATCTATTAGGAAATGATGTTTGATGTCTATTTGCTATGTTATTGAATGTATTACAAGGTTTTTACTTAAATCTATGGCACTCGTACTGTCACACCTTAGAATAATGCATCCTAAGTTTAAACCATAATCGCATAGATGTTTCCCTAACCATAGTACTTGTGCACAACAACTTCTAGTAGCAACATACTCTGCTTCTACTTGTTTTTTACAAGACCAAGAAACTAGTACATTAACTAACATGTGCCACATTTTACTTGTGCTTTTTCTATCAGTTTTGTATTCAACATAATCAGAATCAGAATATTCAACCAAATCACGCACATACACACACACACACGCGCACACACACACACACGCACACGCACATGCACACGCACACGCGCACGCACGCGCACACGCACACGCGCACGCGCACACACGCACGCGCAGACACACAGACGCACGCACGCGCACAGACACACAAACGCACGTACGTGCGCACAGACGCACGCACACACACACGCACGCGCACAGACGCACACACGCACGCACACACACACACGCACGCGCACACACGCACACCCACACACCCACACACACACACATACCCACACACACAGACGCACGCGCACACACACACACACAGACGCACGCGCACGCACGCGCGCACACACATACACACACACAGATGCACACACACACACACACACTCATACACAGACGCACGCGCACGCATGCGCGTACACACACACAGACGCACGCGCACGCACACACACACACACATAGACGCACGCGCACACGCGCGCACACACACACACACACAGATGCACGCGCACACGTACGCGCGCACACACACACACACACAGACGTACGCGCACGCACGCACATACACACACACACACAGACGTACGCGCACGCATGCGCACACACATACACACACAGACGTACGCGCACGCATGCGCGCACACACACACACACACACAGAGATATATATATATATATTGTATGTGCAACTTCACCCTTACATGTTTTGCATGATGTTAAATCTAGGAAAACTTAGCATTTATGTATATTAGATGTTATCTCTATGTCGTTTGGTGCACCCTTGCATTAGAGGTCTTATGAAGCATTCAAAACAAGTTTGAAATTGGCCAAAATCCTGAAAAACTTGTTTCTGCATAAAAATCACTTGCATGTACTGCCAAATATGATTTTCAGGCCGACACATATACTTCAATATTAAAGATTGTAGCCTTTGTTTACATGTGTCGGCACATAACTCATTTCAGGTCGGCACATACTAAAGTTTTCAACTTTATGTGATGGCACATCCATTTTTCAGGACGACACATGTAATGCGTTATTAAAGCATATAGCTTATGTCTGCTATGTATCGGCATATTGCCTGATAACAGGCCGACACATGTGTCAATATTTGACATCATGTGTCGGCACATAACTCGTATGTGCAGACACATCATGTTATTTGGATCATTTTTCTTAAATGTTTTTAATTTCGAAGTTTTCCTCTTTGCCACTAAAATTCCACAACTATAAATACATCATACATGCTTCATTTCAAATTGATGAAGCTATAAACACTTACCATCATTGCTCTTCATCTTCAACCTCCAACCTATGCATACACACTAACAAAGTACACACAATCATTTTTTATTGGGGTGCCATCTAGAAGAGGTTTGATAACGTCCAATTAGGTTTGTGTAACCGAGAATATTGGATTGAGAATTATGGGGGATTTCATCCGTAAAAACTGAGGGTTTATACTCCAAGATCTTTAGTAGATTTGGGGGTTTTGTTCAAGACTTCACAATAGTGGATTCAGCTGAGTAAAAGCTTTGAAGAATTGGTATCTTACAAAGGAGAAGCGTGTGACAGTGGATCATATTAGAAGCTCTTGTTGTCAATAGTTTGCAATTGGATTCGATCGAGTAAAAGCTTTGGAGATTGGGTATCTCGCAAAGGAGTAGCGTGAAATGGTAAATCATTTGGATCTATTGTATCTTGTTCTTGCTCAAGATCAAAAGAAGAAAAGGGGTTGAATCAATATTAAATGGTTATGGTTTGTATGATTTCTCTTGGAACACTTCTCTTGTGATCAACTTTTTGTAAAGCAAGATAGATATCTCAATTTCAATTGAAATTGGGGGCAGATGTAGCCATAACAAAGACATATTGGTGAAATACCTAAAATCCTTGTGTCATTATCTCTCTCTTTATCTCTCTCTCTCTCTCTCTCATTTACTTACTATATGCAATTTGTTGAACTTGTTGTTTGATTGATCGGTTCTTATAAAAAATTTATTTGATTGTTAAAGTTTAAATTGCTTTGTTGATTAGCTTATAATCACTTTGATTGTAAGTGTTTTCTCACATCAGCAAAGCTCAAAAGAAAATCTGAAAAATCGATCTTGCGGCAAGTGTTTGATAAATTGCCAAGTTTTGTTTTATATAGAATTTAATTGGAAATAAGTAACTGTATGATTAATTGAGATACAATTGTGTTGATTGTTCTTATCATTTTTTTAATTCCATGGGAATTTTGCATATCCGAGTTTCCTATAACAGGTTCATTTAGACGATTTTTTCAATCTAGACAAAAAATCTTTCGCTTAATATTGTCTTTGAAAATAAATTTTAATTACTTATTTTTGAAAGGTAATTTTTACTTGGGGGTTCATTCACCCCCTCTAGATAAGTCGCCATCGTCTAACAAGTGATATCACGAGCTCTAGTTAATTCCGTGCTTCTAAACTCTTATTAGAAAATGGCTAACGAACCTAAAGGGGCATACAATAGAGTGCTAATTTTTACGAGAGAAAACTATGGTTATTGGAAAGCTTGTATGCATATCCATATCAATTCATATGACAAAGGTGTGTAAGACGCTATTTCAAATGGTCCAACACCAATTACTCAAACTGATTCTAATGGTATTGTCACACCTAAGCCGTAAGCACTATTGAATGATGATGATAGGAAGAAGTGGGGAAACGATTGGAAAACGTAAAATATTCTCATATCAGCTCTCAGTGTTGATGAGTTTTATCGCATTTCCCATTAAGAAACCGCTAAGGCTATGTGGGACACATTTCAAGTTTCCCATGAGGGAACTAATGAGGTCAAACAATCTAGAATTAACACACTTAATCAAGAGTTTATACTCTTTCACGTGAAGCATGGTGAAACCATTGCTCAGGTACAAAAGAGGTTTTGTCATCTTATTAATCGTTTGAACGCACTAGGTAATCATATTTTCAATTCTATTGATACTAACGAAGTATTGAGATGTCTTACTAGGAATTGGAAACCAAAGGTCATCGTGGATCAAAGAAGCTAATGATATTACAACACTTGATCTCACTACTTTGTTTGGAAATATGAAAAAGGAGAAAGACATAGATAAGGAGAAAGGAATGAAGTCTAAAGCTCTTAGGGATTCTTGTTCAAGTTCATCAAAAGGCGAGCACATTAATGATAGTGATTCTAGTGATGATGATGATGGATGATGAACAAATGAGATTGTTTGTGTGGAGATACAATCGATACATTCGAAAGAATAATGTCAAGCACTCCAACAAAAGCCTTGTCAAATTTAGAAGACATACCCATCCTCTAAAGAATAAGACAACAAAAAGGGTAGAGTATATGCTATGAGTGTGGAAAACTGGGTCACTATAGACCACAATGTCCATCTCTTGACAAGGAAAAAGGAAAGGGCCAACACAAAAATGTATGTGATGGTGATGTCTCAAGTAAGAAAAGATCAAGTGATAGTGAAATAAAGGAAAATGTA